AAAAGTACTTAATCACATATACAATAGATAAGTATAACACAAATAAATGAGTTAGAGAATAGAAACATACCAGCAACCACATCCGGTGCTGCCTTGGCCTCCTCGGCTGTAAGCTGAAAGGCGCGCCCCTGAGCCTTCGGGGGCTCTGCTCTATCTTGCCTCCCATTAGTGATCCTTAATATAGCTAGTGCAGGAGCCTTTTATGACCTGGCTGCAAGTTGTAGATAGTTGGTCTTCACGTGACCAACCTGATGATAATGGTAGCAGATCCTCATATCTTGAACTAGGGCCATCTGGTGACAATCCCTTGAGAAGTACCCTTCCTTGTATTTGCGGCATCCGCTACCTGACCTACAAGCCCATGAATGACCCTTCCTACACTTGCCACAAGTGTGGCCCTGTTATCCCCCTGCTCTATAATCAGCGGTCTTAGACCCTTTCGGCGCCGGCTGCGAGTGCACCGGGGGCTGCTGCTGCTCCCTCAACTGCAGCTCAATCTCCAACTTACGCCGCCTGGCGGCCTCCTGTAGCTCTAGCATGGTATCCCACAGTTGAGTAGCAATGAACTGATGGATGTCAGTCTTGATCATGCTCAGATATCGCGTCATCCAAGCCTACTCAGAGGCAAACTCTGGGCAAAACATCTCCCTCTTGGTGAACAAACATGTGATCCATCGACTTACCATCTTGTCCCAGGTCCAAGAACTCTTGCACCAATCATTCGTGCTCGACATGAGGAATGTAGCGAGCGCGGAACATATCCCTAAACTGCTCCGAAGTCATTGCAACTCTTTGGTCATCTGTACATGACCCGGTCACCAGTCTCCACCAGTTCTTTGCCCCCATCCATAGCAAGTTCAGGGCACATCTGACCTTCTACATGAACATGTGAAGAAACACCCCTCCACATCAGATAACCATCGCATGGCATTGATGGGATCCTGAATCCCATCCAAAGTAGGGGCCTTCGTGTTATCGAAGTGCCGGTTCTAAAAAATCCATCCGGCTCCCAACCATATCATTGATACAGCTTCAGTGGCTGCTGCGGCAGCCACCTCAATAAGGGCTGCATATTTCTCACCAAAGTACTCCACCATAGTGGTCTTAATAGACCCAAACATCTTCGGAATCTGATATCGGAACATAGCAGCAACCTCGTCCTGTAGGATCTCCTGGATCCTATCGTCCATCTCATCTGGCCTCATCTGGCCGATAGTCCCGGGCGCTTACGGCACCTCCTATCCGCCCTCTCCTAAACCTGACCCAGATCCAATCATGAATCATCATGTAACCACCAAGCTGCAATCAAACCAAATAGATATTAGATATTCTTTTTAATAATCCAGGAATCAATTCCTAACTAAAACCCCTGGGGTTGTGACTTCCTTGCTACGCGTATGGGTCCTGTGCTTTCAGTAGTACACGCCCATACTACCTTCCACACCTACCCATATTTGTCTCAAGTATCGTCACAACGCCCTAAAACTATACGTAAGCACGACATGCACTCAGTCCTCACTCCTAGAGGAAGGCTAAATATCTCATAGTCGGTGGACTAATCCTAACAACTCATACATCCATGAAACTTCCACCAACCCTATAGTACTAGTGTATGCTAGCCATACATAACGTTAAACCTCATAGACTTTCGAATATCCAATCCTACCCTAACCTCCCAATCAAACAAGAACAGAACATAGGCTAAATCAAACATTCTCAGGCTATAAGATCTTAATTATGTATAATCGTGATGCACACACTAAGCAACTACAGTAATGATGTCAATCTCATGAAAAGGAAACCCTAGGCTAGCAGACATCATGTAAACAGACAATTCTATCATATAATTCCTGAAGATCCGTAGCCTAGTACTAGCATGCTATTCTAACATATCACGTAATCACATAACTGTATGGTATTTTGGGGTTTACTTACTGGCTCCGGTTGATCGTACACCCTGCATCATCATTTACATATTTTGAAAACCATTTAGAGTTTATTTTGAAAATCTTTCCTTGATTTGAGACTGGATTCACATGAATGTTCCTCCAATTCACTCAAACCAAGGCTCTGATACCAAGTTGTAACATCCATAAAAATCATGCCAAATTTAAACTTTTTTAAACATTTTAAAACCATTTAACATTACAAATATTGTTTTCAAAATAATAATTATCAGAGTATCCCCAGTATCAAATCATAAAATTATAATAGCAAGAGGAGCAGTACGATCATGCTTTGGCCTTCCCGCGATCACTAGAAGTACCTAAAAAAATAATCAATAGATGTAAGCTCGAAGGCTTAGTGAGTTACCCCCAAAATACCAACTATACATAACCATAATCATATCATATAAACAATATAGAACAGCATGCATAATGAGTCATCAGTCTGACTGGATCGAATCCCAGTCGTCAGTCTATCTGGACTGCTCTCTGATCCCTCGTCGCGTCTGGACCTCCCTCATCAGGGCCTTCAGCCTATTCGGACCGCTCATTGAACCTTCGGCCTAACTAGATTTTCTCGGCCCAGGCCTACAATCTACCCGGTACGCCTAGGGTGTCTTGGCCTACTGCACACAGCAGGACCTGCCTCAACCCTTTCCCTCAAACCAACAAACATGTACACATACATATGAAAAATTAAACATGCATATCTAATAGATAACTGATCATGGCAACCATCCTATAACGAGGATACTGATCTAACCGATCTCTAACATAGCAACCATCCTATAATCGATCTCTAATATATCAACCATCCTAACCCGGATACTAATCTAACCAATCTCTAACATATCAACCATCCTAACTATCAGGATGTAAATCAATAAGCATCTTATGCAATAATCCAGATACTAATCCATAAAGGGCCGGCCTTGGTGCCTTATATCATGTTGATATAGTGAGGAGAACACATCTCGTAGATAACGTTGAAATACTAAAAATTTATGACTGTTGTGTCACCGGGAATCCCGAACTATTACAAAATAAATACTAGGTTAATACTCAAAATAACGTTCTTGACTAAGCATCCGCATAATTCATTAAGTCCATTCCCTTTGTTGGGCCAGAGGCCAACACCAAGTCCTTAACAAGAAAGTCCATACTCATAAGTCCACTATTGGCCCAATTTACTCAATTGGGCCCAATCCCCTTATTGGGCCTAGCCCCATTATCCACTATCACAACCCTGCCCAAATATTTCATTTACAGAGTCGAGTAAAGGCCCAATTCCATTTAGTCCATGAACAGCTCAAAACCTAAAGCCCATTTGTCAAAAGCCCAACAGAGGACGTACGTGGGGTGTACTCCTCTGGGTACGCGGGGCGTACTCATCCAAATCACTGACCACCATCGGGGTGGTTGATCCAGTACGCTGGGCATACTGTACAGTTTGCCAAATCATCATTAAGCGCTTAATAGCTTAAGCACTTAAGCCCAAACTTCAGATCCAGTGGGCTAACTTTCCTAGGATCCATAAAGTCATGAACTTTATCACTTTGGACGTCCATAAAGTTCTAAATGCTTGGTCTTAATCCATTACGACCTTATCCTTCCATGCATGGGATACATTTAGCTAATGGGACCTTATTTTTATTAATCAAGGTTCCTTTAAGAGTCCAAAAGGACGGTCTTTTACGTCCAAAACACAACTTGCACTACCTTGTGGTTTTGGGGACATAAAATGGGTCTTTTAAAGCAAAATGGAGAGATCTAAACATATAAGCATAAAGTTTGGAACTTTATACCTTCTGGAGCTTCTTGTGCACGAAATAACTTCAGATCTATAAGCCTGGTCACTTCCTTCAACTCTTTGATGCAATGGTGTCCTCTTAAACACTCAAGAACACACCAAATGAGCTAAAACACACAAAAGGGAGGCTAGGGTTTTAGAGAGACGAGTTTGATCTGTGGAGGTTGGGGTAAAGGGGTGTGGGTGCACATTATGTTGCTTATATAGGCCCCAAACCGTAAATATTAGGGTTTTCATTGCTGATGCTAGTACACCCAGCGTACATAAGTGTACACCAAGCATACTAAGGCGGACCCTTATACGCTCAGCGAACTCCTATGTATGCGCAACACCCCCCCCCCCCTTTGGCCCAAATTGCAAACTCGACCCTTAAACTTGTCTTGGCTCTACATTATAAATCCTCAGGGCTATAGTTAACAAAGTAATGATAGAAGAGGGTTCAGAAATACCGGCAAATATCTCGAGATGCTACATTGTTCATATGATTTTTCCTGTTGCGATTTTTACAAAATCCATGAAAAATCGAGTATTTTCATCTCCATCAATTAGCCATTTTATTCTTGAATTTTGTTTGTTGTCGATGCTCGTCAATTTTTTCAATTCCGTGAGTTTACTCGACATCATAGCCCATTATTCCATTTTTAAATCATTTAAATTATTCCTTTCGACCTTCTTATCTAGTTCAACCATTCTTCTTTTGATCTTTACAACTTCTGAATTTTCATGTGGGAGTTCCATTTCCCTCCATCTCCTGATCCTATTTTTTTTTTTTTATGAATTTTAGTTTATTAAGGAGAATTGAATATGCATCACCATACCCTTTAAATTCTAATATTGCTTTTAAAACGACTTCATTGAACCCAAATCTCTGAAGCCACGAGTTGAACAACTTGAACAGAATAGGACTAAATTCATAGAAATTAAGTTCAAATAGAATGGGACAGTGATCAGATTGTCCTTTGGCAAGGGCCATACATGAAGCTTGCAGGAAGTTAATTAGAAATTTATGGCATATGAGAAATCTGTTAAGTTTGCTTAATTTTGCTCTTGCCTGTTGGAAATATGTGTATTTATATCCCCCCATTTTTAAGTCCAATAATCCCCCTCGTTAATAAATCTATTGAAATCCTGGGCAGTGTAAGAACATAAGTTGGAATTTAACCTTTCATCTCTTCTCCTCACAGCGTTGAAGTCTCCCATAAGTATCTACATCACGTCTCACGATTTTATCAGATTTATCAAATTCATCCATAGCCTTGTCTTTCTGCTATTGACTGAGGGGCATATACATTGACAATTGCAAAGTTTATTCCAGAGCCACTGCAAGTTCCATAACGAGCTAAGAAGAATCTATCTTTGATTGATTCGGAGACAGAAACATAGGACCTATCCCATATAGTGAGGATGCCTCCGGACTTGCGACTTGCTTCAATACATTCAAAACCAAAATTATCGTCTACCCATCCATTTGTTATAAGTGATTCATCAACCCCATTCTGTAGTTGAGTCTCTTGGATACATATAAGCGCCACATTGTTCTTCTGTCTTAATCTTCAGATCCAATCATTTTTGTTTGTTTTCCCCGAACTCCTAATATTTATCAACATTATATTCATTGTTCGCTATTTTGCTCTCCGAGTTCGCCCATGACTTCTTCCAGAACCTCATTGTCTCCGTTGATCTCAAAACCAAGGAGTCGCCCTACCTCAGTTGTTTTTTTTCCAGTTCTGTGATCGGAAGGATGGTCTGGGGGTCAATTTCTGAAGGAGGGGGGATTCGAAGAACCATGCGGTGCTCGGTTAAAATCCAGTGAGGAAGGTTGGCTTGAAATGGAGCATAAGGACTCCGAGATTGACTGGTCAATGTTAAAAGGGGGATTGGTCAAGGCTTGCTGGATCCTTCTTCTTTTTAAATATAACCCGTTAGGGTCCATTTCCAAGTCCAAAGTTCTATTGGACTCAACACATTCTCCGCGTCCATTGTTCCGGGAAGGACCAAACACTCCCCTAGGAAGTAATTCACGGATATTCCTAAACGATAATTGTGGGGTCACACAGCCCCCATCATCATCCACATCGTTGACCTCTATCCTGTCATTCAGATTCCTAGGAGACTCATTACTGTTTAATTTAATTTGTGACTGTTGGTCTTCATCATTCTTGGATGACCCTGCATGTTGGTTTTCCAACTTCCCTGGGGAGACTGTTGCCCTACTTGCCGGAGCTTCTTCAATGTCGTTGAGCGGGAAATTTCTTCTGGTCTCTGATTCAGGGATCTGTTCAGTGTTAATTTCTGGCCCAATCTCACCGTCCTCGAACCCTCCATCAGTATCAAACACCATGGCGTTCTCATCGTCTTCATCATCAGATTCTAACATACTGTCATCTGAACACGAGAATGGCCTCCAACCATTATCAACCTCATACACCCCAACTTCGAATACCCGATTATCTACAACAACTGTGACTTCTTCATTAATTATACCCAGTGTCGTCGTTAGGATACACATCTTCATATGAGATACGTCCACCCTATCCATGCTTAATTCCATCGAGTTGGATATTACCCCAAGTTTCAAGGTAATAGCGCCAGAATTTCCTTCATCCCAAAGGTGGGGAGGGAGGCCAACAAATTTAATCCACGCTATCCTATCATTCTTGATTTCAAGTCTATCACCTGTGTCAATCCATTTGAACCATAATCTCCAAAAATATGTATTTACCATGAAGTTTTTTACATCAGCAGGCCGTCACCTCCGCATAGGATCTTCCATCCCTCCAGGCTGATGATCCACCTCTTGGAATGTCCGGGATTTTCCTCGAGTATGATGTCCCACCGTTACGTTGGTACGTCTTTCCTTCCTTTCAAACTTAGCAATGTTCGTTTCCAATCTATTCCCCTTGTAAGTGATTCCCTGTAGGCTCGCTTCCAACATCAATTCATCCCTTACTCCATAGAATCTGATAAAAACAAACCATCTTCACTTTAAGTCTTTTTTCTTTGCAAGGTAGACACCACTGATAGCCCCGTGCTTTACAAAAGGCCTTCTCAATTCCTCTGTCCTTAATCCCTCCGGTAGGTTGGTCACGAACATGGTTGTGATTGCAGATCCTCCGTCCGTCATTTTTCCTCTTCGATTTACCTCGAACCGTCTGTCTCCCATAGGAAAAACATCAACATAAAGAGTGTGAAATTTGATAAATGATTAATTAAATAACAGTTAAGATCTTATTAAAAAGAAATTAACATAGGAAAAACATCAACATAAAGAGTGTGTTAATATATTTTCTATACATAAATTAAATCTGACAACATAGGAAAAACATCAACATAAAGAGTGTGTCTATAAAAAAAACAATTAAACATTGACTTTTTTATAATTTATAAGGACCATTTTTGTAATTTATTTGCCAAATAGGGAACTAAATTGCCAACATCGACCAAAATTTTGAACCCAAAAATTTTAGAAACACCTATTAATATGCCAAAATCGTTATATGGTGAAAATATAAAATCAAAAATTAATGGGGACTAAACTTACAATTATATCATATTTTATGATCAAAGTTTTAAACTTAACGTTTGTTATTCTTTTCTCAATTGAAATTAGTACATATAAAAATAATGATTTAAAGTTTTCGAATCTAACCTCGAGCCAACCACTGTCATTTGATTACAAATTACTTTTACATATTGCGGCGGAGACAAATAATTATAAAAAATGGATTAAAAAAAATTAATTTTTACCATATACACATTAGAAAATGGACGGTCTTTGTACAAAAGAAAATGTGTTGCAATTTGTGTACCACTTTATTATTCATTTTTAATGGTCTGCAATCATATGTGATAATTATAAATTAAAAACTAGTTGTGAAACCCGTATATCATACGAGTTAATTAAAACATAATGTTAAACAGGAGCGATTAAATGAAGAGTTTATTTGAATTTGAAATATAAAATAAGTGAAAATTAGGAAAAAAAATAACATGCAAAAAATAAATTAATTAAAATTATGTGTTTAATTGTTAGACCGTTGTACTAAACGATTTATTATAATAAAATGTTAAATATAAATGTTTAAAGGGTAGATTTATTTGAAATTGAAATTTGAAATTTGAAATTAATTGTTATTATAGTAGGTTTAATTTATGGAAATTAAATCAATAATATAGTGGAAATGAATAATGAAGTAATTGACAAGTGGAAAATAAATATATTTTAAAATTATGACAAAATGACATGTGGCCAAATAAATGAAAGAATGATAAGTGGCAATAACATTTTCATTTATTAGGGTAGATTATTAGCATAAATCCACAATTTTGGAGCATACACATAAACAAAATACAAATAATATGAAGACTTACACATTGGGACATCGGTTATCTTTTGTTGTGGTTTAGTACTTTGAAAGATTAAATTGTATTAATCATCAAATCATAACTTGTATACGGATAGTTAAAAACCCACAAAAGTCAACATGATTATTAGAAAGTCAACATTTCTCCCAAAAAAAAAAGAACTTACACTTTGTTTTTAGGGGTCCTACTAATTGGACCCCAGATTTTCTTAAAGGACCCTCATTAATGATCTTTTAGGCATAAAATTCCGTGCATTTATGATATCAATAGCTTTTATGATTACTAAAAGTTAATTTTTTTTTTAAACTCGTACTTATCATTTAATTACTATAAACTTTTTATTTATTATATATTTTACTTTTTTATAATCAAATAATAATGCAAACATATCAACGTTTTCTATATATTTTAATATTTATATAAACCAAAAAATAAAAATAAAATGATATTAAATATTTAAATGAAAACTAAGTATTATTATTATATCGTATTTGAAGTCACTTATTATTATGCTTACGTATAAAAATGATTTTAATAAATTGCATTAAAAAACCAAAAATAAATTAATTTTTTTTTTGTTTAAAATATTTTATTTTATATATTTGAAAAAAATATATATGGTTATTTTAATACTTTTTAATAAAAATAATATTTTTTTTCTATACACAAATCTTTATATTGAGTCATTTTATTATTTAATTATTAGTTTTATTTAAAATAAAATATAAAATAATTATGAGGGTCTAATATTATGCAATGATAATTAATAAAAAGATAATTATTTTGTAATGATTAACTTATTTTAAGAAAAAAGTTAAAGTAATTATTAAAGTAATTAATAAGGGTCCTTTAAGAAAGTAATAAGGGTCCAAATAGCCGAACCCTGTTTTTAGCTTCTAGGGTGGATAACTTCGTCATGTGTACTATCATTGAACTAATAATTTTTCCTTTCCCATGCTATCGATGTTAAGGGATAAAGGACCATTCATTCTCTTCAATCTTGTTTGACAACAAAAAATAACATAAGAACTTAATCGATTTCAAAATGAAGAAAATAAATAACAAATAAAATAATGTAAAGAGGATTTTATCAAGAGATATGAAGTGGTATGTTTTTTAGTTTAAAAATTAAAGAATCCCCATTTAACTCAAATCAATTAAATAGCATCTCCATATACATACAGTCACATATAATAAATATTTTTTAAGATTATTTGTGTATGTAAACTGTAAACATATTAAAGCAAACAACATCCAGACCAATAAGGATGGAATGGAAGATAGATCATCACCATCTAAAATCAAAGCAGAACAGCGAATACGTGAATCATGATGAAAAGTGGATGCAATTGGAAAAGGAATTAGATGACTGAGGGTGCTTTAGGATTAAGGAAAAGGAGAGAGCAAAGAACACAAACCTGACTTAGGAAAATATGGTTATTTTTTTGTTGATTGTTCTACTGTCTTGATCTTGGTAATAGAAATAAAAAAACTAATATATTTTCTTCAATATTTGTGTAATCGTTAGAGGTGTTTGGCATATGAAATATTAAAGTTTTAAATTTAATGTGCAATATATTGAAGCAAAAGTAAAAAATAAAAGAGATGACACCTTGATCAGAAGGTAAGTATCCAAGGGTTTTCCGGTGGATGGTAAGTAAGCAAAATATATGAGTTGCATGTGGAGAAAAAGAGTGAGGGTGGGAGGGAATGAAAGGGTGCATCGTGTGTTTGGAGAATCAGATGGTGATTGCGTATTTTTCTAGATAAGAGTTTCAGATCTGCAAGCATGAAATCAGGCAAAAGGGATGTGATTGTACCATGACTGTAATCATTATTTGAGTTATGTCCTCCAAAAAAGGAGCTATATTCACGCAGCCACAAAAGAAGAATGCAGATCTGCTTCCCTTCTTCCTATTTCAAGTCCACTCAGTCTCATGAATTCTTCACAACTAGCATCTAGCGGCCTTATATGAACCCCCTGTAACAGCAACATAATCATTTAGCTATACCAAATGGAGTAATTTTTTGACCCGCTGAAAGACAAGATAATTGAAGACAGTGGAGTAGTTGTACGTTGGTGGTGCGATAGAGCCATGATGGTTGACGATAGTGGTAATACCAGGGGATGATGATAACGGTGGTTGTTAGTGGTAGATCGAAAAGAAAAAGGCGGAGAAGAGACATACATAAGTTGCGAATTTGGTTGTTGTATAGGGTTTAGGTGTAGATGACGGGAGACTGGGCAAACCAGAACCAATCGATCAAATCCACCCTCCATCAACTAAACTATAGACGTTAAGGGAGAGAGACTGTAACGCCCGTAGATCCGGGCTAGTCAATTTAGAGGCAATAAGGGTCGAAAACGACTTTTCGAAAAAAGATTATTTAGAATAAATAATCTTAACCAAGTTGTAGAATATGTTACAAGGTTTCCGTACATATAAAGAACGCCAAAATCCGAGTTATAACGAAGAAGTTATGACCCGTTGAAGTTTCGCGACGGAACCGGTACGAAACCGGGAAGCGTAAATAGTGAATTTATGATAGAGCGAGATTCAGCCAAAGCGATCTAAAAAAAAGTCTTAGAATATGTTAAACTAAGAACATCAATAAAAAGAACACCCAAATCTGACTTCGTATGAAGAAGTTATGATTTTTCGAAGTTTCGGTTTAGCAGTGTACAACCCGAAATTCGAATATTAGATCGAGCGATTTTTAGCCGACATGGCCTGAACGAGAATCAAAGATCTCGTTAAGAGTAGCGTATCGAGAAAAAGATGGGCGAAAACGGACGTCGTATGAATAAGTTATGAGGATTTAACGGACCAATCCTGTCCCGACCTGTTAATAATATAAAATTTGAAATCGAGTCAAAATTAGCCGACGGAGTCTAAACAAAAGTTGTAGAGTACGTTCCCACCTTCGCGTGGATATAAAGAACGTCGAAAACGGAGCTCGTATGCGAAAGTTATGACGTGGCTCAATCAGGGTCGTCGCTTGCTGATCACGATTCGCTTCGGATTTACGACACGTTGCTTCGCATTACGCCCCGCGTACGAGGTTCGGTACGCCCCGCGTACCTCTGATCTTATCTGGTTCCGATGCGAGCCACGCGCGAGACAGCTGGATGCGAACTGGCCCTCTTATCCGAAGCTACGCGCAGCGTAATGCTGCTGTACGCCCAGTGTACTTCCGAGGCTGAGGCCTATAAAAGGGGAACGAAGGTTCTCGGATTTTTCACACTTTCCACCATAACTTTCTCTCTCTACTTTCTCTCATTACCCCCTAACCATCCCTAAAGTCTAGGTGAACCCCTAGCACCCTAGGGAGGCCCCCAGGTTTCCGGAGTCCCGAGAA